ACCAGTCCTGCCCTTATGGAGCCTCCAGGGCCCCCAGGAACTCCGCGGCGCTCTCCCGCGCAGGCCTAGGCCTGTCCCCTCTGGCGCCCGAGCCTCCCTCCACTCTCCGTGAACCTCGGAGCGGGGTGTTTCCGCCTGACGCCGCCGCGAAGGAAAGTTCGGGCGGCGCTATCCCGACTGCCTCCCGGGGCAAAGCCGATCAGCAGCCTGGGGACGCAGCCAACACCCGGGCATCCTCGACGACGGCCCGGTCCGCTACCCGGCGGCGCGCGGAAGTGACAGCCCTGGAGCCGGGGTGGGCGCGGGGCGCCGCGCGAAGCGGAGGGGAAGGCGCTGGGGTCCTCCCGGCGACGAGGGTCCGAGACTGCGCCTCTGCCCGCCAGACCCCAGGCTCGCGCAGGGCGCCCCGGAGGACCCGCTCGACCCCTCCTCGGGAGGCACAGGCGAGGGGAGCTGCGGTCTCCTTCCCAGCGCCCGCCTTCGGGTGCGTCAGAGCGACGCAAGAGCGCACGGACAGGGGGGCCGCGGCCGGTGGCGGAGATTCCCTGCCGAGCGCTGCCCCCTCGCGGCCGCTCAGCGCCCAGCCCGCGGCCTGCGCAGCCTGGTCCATCTGGTCTACGGCCGGATACCGGCCCCTGCACGGTCCCCGACGAGGCTGAGACAGAAGCTCAGTAGGGCTCGCCGGCAGGTCAGGCTAACTTGTTTGTGAAGTAAAGTGGGGCCTTTTTTACTTTTCAAGGAGAAGGTAATTTTTGTTTAGGCTTCTGTGCCGAGAACGCCCATCTGTATCTTTTTATTTAATCGTCTGAACAGCCCTGTGAGATCATTATTTTAATTTCATTTTAAATGTGAGGAAGGTGAGGATTATAGCTATGAAATCACTGAGGCTGGATTTTGTTGGTCTTTGTGTCTCCAGAACCAAACACATGGGGAAGATCACAGTCCACTGCAACACAAGCTCCTGAGAGGCGTGGACTTCTACACTGTAACATCCCCAGTAACTCGGGCAAAGCCTGGGGAACACACGGTGGATGTTCAGCAAATATTTATGAAATTAAGAAACAGTCTCCAAATCATCGCCTACAGGTGATTTAAATGCACATCTCAGCACCTCAATTCCAGCTGTCCTGAGTCTGACACCCAGTCCAAGAACTAAGGCTGACAGTTTGAGAAAACTTTGCTCCTGACTTCTGACGGCCGCAGGAGCCCTGCCCCACCTGCCCTCGGACTCTGTCCTGGTGTGCAAGGTGCGTGGTCGTTCACGTCAGCACTGCTGGTGTGATGGGAGGGCACCCCGCGCTGCCTGGGGAAGTGGACCTGGGAGCAGTCATCCCGGGAGGGACCACCACAGGCACAAGGCATCCCCACATGACCCTCCTTCTACCCTTTGACCCACGCTCAGGAATAACAAAGGGCAGTATTCCAGAGGACCTGGATTGCTTGATCCAAAAGCAGGTGGTTTGGCCACAGGACACAGGGAGCTGGGACAGCTCGTAGAGAGAGTTCTGCCTGCAAACTCCTCAACTCCCAGGGGCTGCTTGGATGACATACCATGGGTGCTTTTGGTTTTGAGCAACAGAAACCAACTCTAATGAGGTTTTAAAAGGAGTGGAAGAGATCTTGTGCATCAGGGGCCCCCCACAGGGCCCGGTCAGATCGGGGCCAGGTCACTGCAGATGGCCCCAGGGGGTGTGGTCTCCACCTTGCTCTATGTGGGGACCTACCCCTTCCTCTCTGCCCACTGCCTCTCCTTCCCAGCCCACAGGACAGGAGACACAGTCGAACTTCAGAAGAACCTTATCCGTGGCTTCAGCCACTGACAAAGACACTGTTGTGGGCTGGAAGTTTTAAAACCCTACCACCCAGCTTGGCCCGGGTGGTCACTCTCTGGACCAGCATGTGCTGGCCATGGGGACGGCCATCTAAAACCAGGCAGCACCTCAGGGGTCACCCAGAAGGAGAGGAGAGAGCCCAAAACACACAGACAAAACAACAGAGGCCCTTCCCTTCCCAGAGGCCCAAAACCAGCCCTGCCCTCAGCTCCCCTGTAAGGCAGGACCGAGGCCACCGAACCCCACCTTCACCAGGCCCTCTGCCTCACCTACGGCCACAGCTCAGACAGACGGCTGTCCCGGGCGCACTGGAGGCTAGCAGGGCCTTGAGGTGGGACTGCGGGGAGCTGGGCCTCGCTAAGGCAGACGCTGCGACTCAGCCCCGGCCAGTCCCACGTTCCTTGGGGACATAAGGGCCCAACACTGCCAGGTTGTCTTGCTTTTGCAAAGAAGTTGGGGGGCCTGCTTTTTACGTGGGTGCTCCTGACATTCAAGAGCTGGCACCCAGTTCAGTTCTCAGAAAAATGCTGTTAGCCAAAAAGATAAATGCCACCACGACGACCCCAGGCCCTCCATATGCAGTTTCTGGTTGAAGCAGCCAAGGGAAGTGGCTGCAGAGTCAAGGAACTTAAGAGTGGGAACTGAATAGCTGAAGTATTACAAATGCAGTTTTATGTTACTCGGTTAAATTTGCACATGTTCAGTAAGTCAATTATATCAGAAAATAAGGCTAAGAGCCATTCATATAAAACAATTTTGGGAATTCAGAAGATGGCCTGTGAGAGGGAGGGTGAGAGCTGGCGGTGGGGGGAAGGGGGGCGAGAGGGAGGAGGAGGGAGGGGAGGGAGGAGGTGCCTTCCCCCCCAACCATGACCCCACCTTCCCGCCTCGCGTGTGAACTCTCTGCGGCTTTCTGCTCCTCAACGAAGCCCCATCTATCTCACAGACCACCTCCTCCAGGATGCCTTTCCTGGTTGCCCTTCTTCTGAATCCATGTGGCTCTCTTTTCCTGCACCTTTCGTGTTCTGCCCGCAAACTCCTCAAGGGCAAAGCCTGTGTTTATTGGTCTTTAAGATCCATCAGGAACCATCCCAAGGTTGATATGCATTTAATAAACCTCCACACAGTTGGGCGGCACCGAATTTGAAGAGGCTGAACCAGCTGACCGCTAAGCCCCCCTTCAATCCAAGACCGTATGAGATCATGATAAACGCTTTTGGGCATCTGACAGCTCACATTTCTACTGCACTTTCTTTGTATGAAAAGGAACGAAGCTCTCAAAATTAATTTCACACAGGATATATCGTGCGCGCAGGCATGAGGTAATAATATAGCGTCTGCGTCTGAACACACCCGCCCTGCTGCCCCGCTGCCCCGCCGCCTGCAGGTCTATGACCCTCCCCGCAAGTGCTTCACTTTGACCTCAGCTCTGTCTCTGCAAAGCACTTGGCCTTCCTCAACTCAGCCAAGCTACCTGCCTGAGGACCTGCCTGAGGACCTGCTTCCGGGGAAACCCACACCAAAGCGGGTGTTAGACCGGACAAAGTGGGCACGCACACACGTCAGCCCCTTCTCTCCTGTTTCCTTGGAAACTACGCCTGGTCTTTCCCCTTGGACCCCGTCCCTCGCACTCACGCAACACAGATGCTCTGTCTCCCCTTCCTGAGTCCCAGCTCCTCGCATGTCCAGATTTAAGCTCATGTCCTCCCTACGAGCCAGCAGGTGCTGGATACACAGGAGAAAGGAAATGCCTCCTCTGGCTGGTCAGCTGGTCAGGCCTGAGCGTAGAGGGCAGGAGGCATTAGGAAGACCCTTGACCAGAAAGGGGAGCGCGGGACCAAATTAAGGGGCCAGACAATGACCCTTATTTTAGGCACAAGTTTGAGGTGCTGGCAGGCCCGGGTGCAGGTGTCTGGTGTTCCGGAGGGAACGCAGAGCCGGGCATGTGGGTCTGGGAACGATTTTCCTGGAGGTGACGGATGAGGCCATGGGTGAGAGGAGGAGGCACTGTTCCTCCCTGGGAACCTGCAGGGAG